ATTTTATAGATAAAAGGAGAGGCCCAGAGATGTTAAGCCACTTGTCCAAGATCTCACTGCTATTAAATGGAGAAGACTAAATGTAAATTGGATTCCAAGAATGAGGGCTTAACTTACACTGTACTATTATGCACTATTTTTAGAATAAAAAGGGGAAGTGTAAGAGGATTTATGTAATAGCCAAGCAACAAGAAATAAAGAATCATAAAAGGTGATAGAAATTCTAAATAAACTTTTACTAATCATTTACCACATATAAGGCACTGAGAGTGATGACAAGAAGTAGGAAGAAATTTGTGGTAAGAATTTATCTTCAGTTTTGGATTCTTAGATTTCAGGTTGGAAAACTCAGGTCTATGTAAATGTGTCATCCAATCATTAACTAGTAGAGGTGGCAGAATAAACATACTGAGTCAAGGGCAACTAGACTAGATCTAGACTAGATCTACATGAGCCTCGGTATCAAAACATCCTTTACAGACACCTTTCAAGCATACTGGGTAACACACTGAATCCAAATGACACTCTCCTGATAAGATAGAAGGTCCTGCCTATAATCTTCCCAGCACAGAATCTAGACAATGAGATTTTTCTGTTGAAATTGAAATGTCTAAATGCAATTGGAACAAACTAGTTCGGAAACTAGAGTGTAACTGAATCAAACTAAGAAAAAGAGATCTGTATCTGAGAGAGATCTAAAAAAGAGGAGCTTCTGGACTGGAATGCAGCTCAGTGGGATGCCGAACATGTTCCCAGACCTAGGTCTGATCCCCAGCACCACAAGAGAGGATCTTCTTACACCTCTGACCAAAACAGCTGCTGCCCTAAAGAAATGAGATAAGAATGATGTGAAGAAGGTAAGAAACAGGCAATTTATCTAATCTCTTCTCAGTGACTCTGATTGAGTGCTGGTGTAAATTCTGTAAAATGCCACCATGAATTCACCCTCAGATAACTCCAAGAAAAAAGGAGCATCCTGTACTTCTGCTGTCAAATTAAGAACTAAGTAGTTCTCACTGCAGGTCTGCTTGCTGTACTTCCTAATCCTTAAAATAAACTAGTGCTATACATGCTTATCAGATAAGGTATATTCTATAAGCAAAAGTGGTTTCTTTTGTTGTATCATTCTCCTTTCTGTAGTAAAGGTCTGATTCAGAGATTCTAGATCCAATGTCTAAGGGGAAAGTGCTCCCCAACATGGTCAGAAGTTCAGGAAAACAGACAGTGTTCTGAGGCAGGCATTCTGGAAGAATATGTCCATTGCAGGAGCTCTCATCAAGAAGTTGGAGATTTGGTTTTACTCTACTAAAAAAGAATCAATTTGATACAACGTTAACTTCTAAACTTCCAAGGACAGTTACCACCTCTGCAACACAAAGTAGCAGGAAAAAACGGGGATAAATACCCAAAGATTACCGGGATGACTTACGTGGTTTGACTAGTAACTGCCAACATTAAACAGGGATCTCCTGCAGTTTACAATGTGCCCTTGCCCTTACTGTACAAGAACTCCTTTTTCAAGTTTTCCTATGCATATTATCTAAAATCACCATTAAGTTGTGGACAAACCTTACAATGTGAATCATCCTGCATCTGTTAACGTGTTCTCATGAAAATTTAGAATTTCTCAGGAAACACTGTCTTCCGAGGAACTGGCATGCATTATTTCCTCTGCCTGTTAAGGGCACTGTGAGTGAACCCTTTCACTCTGGTTGCTCACATGTGTACAGCTGCCTGTGACAATTAATTTCACAACTATTTTAGCCCTCAAGGCTAATAATATTTTCCCAGAATTTCTATAGTTTTGACTCCTTCTTTAAATGTTGTACTTATGTCTGTTATAACTACCTCAACTATTTATAAAAAAAAATAGGGCAACCCATTTGGGACCTTTCCTGTCTCTCAGGAGCTATTCCTACATCCCATTCCTTTTCCCAGTAAATTTTCCTATTCTTAACCTCCCTTGGCCCCTAGAATTCATTTTTTGACTCCGGGGAACACAAACTCAGCATACCAGACATCTAGCATTTCCCCGACATCATCTTCAAGGTTCCACTGAGACACTTGGAAGGAGGTTTGTTTCAAAGCGCACCGGAAGTATTTCAACTACCATAATTTTCACCCATGTTGTACCTGCCTCAATTTTCCTTGGAGAGGTGTGCTCATCGGAAACCCATCTGTGACCCCCTCTGTCTCTCAGGAGCTGGTCTCCATCCCTTTTCCCAATAAATGCTTCTACTCTTTAATAAAAAAAAAAAAAAACCAGAGAGAACAAACTTTTAAAAAATACTTTTGCATTTTTACTTCCTATCTCCATCTGTTCCAAACAACAGGCACTTACTTGGTCAATGAGGAACTGAGGTGAGGGGCACCAACTGAGCTAGCTTCTTGAAAGCCAGGTATTTCGAGTCCTGAATCCAACCAGCAAGTGTTGTTGCATACTGGCACGGTGGTGGACCCCAAAGGCATACAAAATTGAATTGAGTCATGATTATAATTGAAGAACTCAGTTATGTACGCTCTCAACTGATGCGTATCTACTCTACCTTGAGGCAAACAAAGCAAATAAAGGACAACCAAAAAGTTACAGTAGGGTATGATCTGACTGAGGACCATTAAGGTTACCCTGAGGTAACCTATATCCTCTGGCACCAGGAATGTCAATTCCTAAGAGGCTTCAGAGATTGGAATGATCCAAGGATTACACAGTCCACAGCCCCACTGGAATCCTCACACTTAAAGGACTGTACCAGAGGCCTTTTTCTCACACCATTCTGTACCATGCCAAGCCAGTTCTTTCCTCTACTTTCCCTCTGCTTTCTCACATCATCAACCCAGGGCAGCAGTACAAGAGTGACTTAAGTCATAATGTTCAGTTCAGCTGAAATTCTGCAAAACAGATTATCTAGGACTTGCAATGTGACCTTGACTAGTCCTCAAATGATCCATTAACTAAATAAATGCCTTTTATCATCACTGGGGAAGGATAATTAGTCATCATAAAGCACTCCAGTACAAGTGCTACGTAAATGCTACACAATAAAGCTCACAAAGACCAAAGATTAATAACATGGGGGTAAATCTACCAGCAAGTGGAAACTTACACCAGGGTCTTCCACACTCCTGGCAGAGACCTGCTCTTTTAGCTAATGAAATATGAGTCTCTGAAGTCATTAGCACTTGGCCTCACAATAACACACATTAGCAATAGTCCTTCTGAGAAGAAGAGGGAAACAGGGATATTTATTCCTGGTAGATGGCCATTCCGATATCTCTGTTACTGGTTAGCCAGATGCGCAATTAATATTTGAGTATCAACTAAGGTACATGGAAGATACAGAGCTAGACACCATAAATACAACCGTGCACCAGAGTCCTTGCCTTTGTGGGAGTTCACAATCTACCACACAGACGCTGCCTTATTAGTTCTGGCACTTCCAAGAATACAGGCTTACTAGAAGTCAAGTAAGAATAAAGAAGCCTAGTAACTAGACAAAAGAAGATGGGGTAAGGGAGAGGAAGAGTTGGGAGACTTAGGCTGTAAGGGTTTTCTGATTCTTTCCCCTATCTCATCTGAGGTGCTACCCTTAAACATTCTGCTTATAAGGACTACAGCTTTCCCCAAGTAACAGTGAAGATCACAAATGGCTACTAATCTAACAAAGCAGTCAGAGGGACTGAGAGCGCTAAGAATAAGGTCAACAGGATTCCTTAGGACCAAGGGATCTTCCACAATCCTTAAAGGCATTGTTGGTAGAAATCTTAATTTTGTGAAAAAACAGACTAAAGCACACGATGATGACTTGCCTTTTCAGTCTTGCATTTGATGTCTGTAGTGTTAGATTAGCTGCCTTAAAGAAAAACAGCCATTGCTCCCACTTAAGACAGCTTAACTAGTTCAGGTGTAGGAGCCTCAAGGACTGTAACTATTTCTGCAAACCTTGTTTTGCTCAGTTGACAGTGCCTGAATCCCACTAAACAATACAGGCAGAGACAGTTTTGAAACCCTGTCTTTGTACAGGAGGGAAATACTTGTTTGGGATCTCACTGGGTTTAGAAAGGTCACTCTTTGCAAACGTTCCCTGGCCTGCAGTTAACTGGGTGCCAGGTATGTGCAAAGTCAAAATGTGGGCGGTTGGCAGTAAATGATCAGAAAGCGGTAGGATCCCAATTCCACCACTCGGAGAGCTAGTTAAAAATCTCCAGAGGTTGCCATTTCCAAGAGAATCAGAAGGTTGTCCTTTGAGCTCAACCCACAGCACAATAAAGGAAACTTTTTCTGTCTTAATAAGTACAGTGAGGAATGAGCAATCGTTCCTTACCACCCACCCCTCCAACCCACCCAAGCTCCTTTCTGGAGGAATGTCTAAGTGATCTATTCACATGATTCTAGGACCGACCTCCATCCATGATGGTGTCTGCTGTCATCGACCCCAACCTGTCCATTTCTTACATTGAAGCAACTGCAAGACCTTAGGTGAAAATCCGTCTGCGTTTCAACCTCATGTTGCCCACCTGCATAAAAGAGCTGGTTTCACGCATTCTTTTTTCTCTTGCCTCTAAGCTATCACGCAGTTGGGGGATAAAACGGTCACTGCTTCCAAAGCAGCTCTGCCAGATTTACCCAATCACCTCAGGGGAGATTTTCTGTACACTCTCATCCCCTGGGCAGGTCATAGGGTTAGATGAGTTGGTTCGCCCCCTCCTACCCACGTCTGAGGCCATTTGTCCAGGGAAAGTCAACCACAAATCTAAGGCCTGGCCCTGTCGGGTTTTAAAAAGATCCCGGAGAGCTCGGGTCGAGGGACAAAGGAAAGCGAGGTCGGGGGTCCTCTTCCGCTCGGGATAGGCCGGGGCCGCTCACCCGCCACTCTAGTCGTCCACGACCACCCCAAACCCTAGCCCCTGAATCCCCACTGCCCGGGCCCGGCCAGGGCTTGCTCGCGCCCCTTCCGCGAGCCCGGAGCCCCGTCCCCCGCCGCCACCCAGAGTCCCCGCACCTTCTTTGGCGCCTTGGTGACGGTGGCCATGAAGGAGTACTTCTCGGCGTCCTCGATCTCCTTGGGCTGTTTCAGCTCCTCCTCGACCCCGGGCAGCGGCATCGCGTCAGGCATCGACATCCCCCGGCCGGCCAGGCCAGCGGATGACCCGCCGCCCCCGCCTCTCTCCCTCCCCGGCGTCCGCCCGCCTGCCCGCGCGGCGCCCTCGGACACGCGCTTGCCCACCCTCCCGCCAGGCTCCGTGCCGAGCTGCGCGAGACTCTGAGGCGCTCGGGCCGAAGCCTTGTCCGCTCTGCAGCCCAAGACTGCCGGACAGCGACCAGCGTCCACCTAAGCACCACAAGCGGCAGCGCGCAGCTCCGACCTGCCCGCGCCGCCACCTCCGCTGCACGCAAACACGCACGCAAAGTACGGGTAGAGGGCGGTGACGCCACGTCAAGTACTGGCACGTCCGAGGATGGGGGGAAGAGGCGGGGAGAAACGGCGCTCTGTCATGACGTCACCACGCTGGGCTGGGCCGCACGAGCCGTCCCTCCTCTTTTTATGCTCGCGGATAATGGAAGATGAGCCGTATCCTTTGTGCCACCAGGTGGCACCATCTCCCCTGTGAGCAGGGGTGGTTTCTGCAAGGATGCTGAGGAATGGAAGGTATTTGGGCTACTGAGTTTTCTGCGAGGCCTCAGAAGGGCAGTAGAAGGATTCTTGGGAGCAAAGACGAGAGCCCCACACGGCACGACCTGAAGCCGTTCCCAGGAAAAATCCCGGGTCTAAGACACCCACGCACTGTTCCTGCCCCAAGCGGGTGAGGAGGGCATTACCCTTTGTGGCCTCCAGCACTGTCCTCTTCTGGGCGCTCCCTGTTGGCCTGACTTTCAGGATGCAGCGCTGCTGTGAAGAGGTCACTGGGAGAGGGCTAGTGGGTCGGTGGAGGGAGACTGGCTCTCTTGCTCCAGACTCCCTTTAGGCTTTAGCTTCTACCAACTCCCGGCAGCCATCCAGGGCAGTCCTGGGCTGCTCACACACTTCCTGCATTCTGCTCTGTGCAGTGTCCGTGCTAAGGCCCTGGCCAGCAAAGGTGCATGTGACACATTTTGTATTTTACAGGGCTTAGTTAAGTTGAAGAGGCCAAGCCTGTTTGTAACCTAATGTCAGCCGAGGTAGCTTGTCCTTTGAGTCAAATGACATTGGCTCCAGTTCCCACATCCTGTGGAAAGTCCAATGCCCTCCCTAGGATTTCTGTGAATTACCGGGGATTGGGGGCTTCGATTTGCACTGTCACCTCTGACTGTACTTTTCTGCATCATCTGGAATTTTATTCACTCTTCTGACCTTGTGAGTATCTTTAATTCCTGCTATAAGCTCAACCCCCGCACCTATTCCAGAGCAACCACAAAATGAGGCAGTAACATGTAGCAGAACTTTTAATGAAGGTTTGTGGATCACAGGGGAGAGGTTACATCACACAGAAAACAATTTAAAATCACATTTTTGAAATGTTCCAAAAAGTTATTTTGGCTGTCTCACCACCCTGGGATTTCTCAATGGCCACACCACCCCACAAAACGCCCTAGTCCACGGCCCGGCTAGCTTCCTCCAGCTCGTTCCTTCCCTTCCCATCTTTTCACCCTCGCCCCCCATGGGCTCTGAGAAGCCAGATTCTTCTCTCCTGTGCTGAGCAGGTCGAGTCTTCCCTAGCACCTTTGCCCTAAATTCCACTCTGAGCCTACCATTTTATAACCAGGAACCCACCGGCTTTGAGTCAGTCTCATCAAGAAAGAAGTGGTGGTTTGTATGGATGTTTTCTCACCACTGATTTATGTTCAGAGTTCAGGAGGGTGTGAGATAGTCAGTTCTGGGACCTCAGAAGTCTTCATCAAAGAAGCCCATGACCCAACGACTGAGCTTTATGAAGCATTGTGTTTGGAGAGGGCCTAGAAGGGGATGTACGCTGCAGATCCTTGTTCTGAACTGTTAGGGTTCTCGCCTCTGACCACTCTTGCAGCAGACTTTCCTGGCAGAGGCATTCCTGTGGCATAAGGGGCAGAGAGATAGAGATCAGAAAACCAGATTCTTTCATAGGGATGCCAGAAACTCTTTGTCCCCATCTCCCAGCTGGGGGCCAGGAGCCACCCCTGGGCCACTCAGGGAACTTCGACACTTTCATCCTGTGAGTTCACTGGAACTGTGGTCAGAGCCCATGGATCAGAGCTGCCTGCTGTATATTAGTGACAGAGCCTGTTGGAACGGAGGTGAAAACTCCAAGTGCCTTGAACAGAAAAACAAGTGAGATAATAAGTATTACTATTATTTTTAGAAAACACAGATGTGTCTGTCTGTCTTTTGGATTTGAATTAAATTCCCATTGTCTGAGGGCTTTGTCTCTCAGTCCCCACTTCTCTGTGCATTTCAGCACCTAGGTAGTGAGTATTCCTCTTTGTTCCTCTGGAATCGGGAAAGGAAGGGTTGCCCTATGCCAGGCCAGCAGTGCTCCTGTCGCTGAGGATGGCAATAACAGAGCCAAATTGAAAGGAAAAAGAATCTTACTTAGCACTGTGGGCCACGAAGGAGATCAGCTGGTCAGACTCCACTTACCTGAGTGCCAGCCAGAGTGAAGAGAGATGAACTGGCCCCGGGGAGCTGAGGATGCTCAGACTAAAGCAAGAAGGGCAGCACCCCTTGATCCACCTTAGACCAGAAGCAGGCATTCCTGGAAACCAGCCACTGCAGAAGACACGGGTGGCTGCCATCCCCCACCACATGTGGACAAGAGATCAAAGGGTTCACCCAGCCAGGGAGTGTGATGACCTAACATCCGTGGGAACCATTGCATGCCCATCTTGCCCAACCTGAAGGTGGCTTCACATGGCCCAGCTAAGGAGACTGCTGCTCGTGGGTACAGAAAATGATTTTTTAGCTACCCAACCCCCTGCCAGTGTCTCTACTGGTAAGCTCAGCTCTCCTGAAGAGCACAGTTTATGTACAAATGAGACAACTGTTCAGGACCCGGTGTTTGAGAAGAGTAGGAACTCAAGGTCAGGAATGCCTGCTGCGGGTGACAGTGGTATGTTCTCAGAGGCTCTGGAGGCCAGAGGGGATCCTGGTATAGAAAGAAGTGGCCTGGGAGTAGAGATGGGTGGGAGATACTCTCACCAGAAGTGGTGGAGACCTGAGATTTCACTTGTGGACTTGGCCTGGTTAATTAAACCTACTCTTCATCCACCCAAATATCTCTCCTAAACATGCATTCATTTATTCTTATAAAATATACAGTCATCACACCCTTCACAATAGCATCTAAAAAAAGAAATACTTAGTAATAAATCTAACAAAGGATGTAGAAGATCTGTACAGACTGGGGATTTAGCTCAGCAGCACAGTGCCTGCCTGGCAAGCGCAAGGTCATGAGTTCGATTCCTGGTACTGGAAACAAACAAACAAAAAATCTGTACAGTGAAAGTTACAGTACCCGAAAGAAAGGAGATTTAAGAGGATATCAGAAAATGGAAAGACATCCTTTGCTCATGGATAGGAAGAACCAACATTGTGAAAATGGCCCTATTTCCAAAACAGTTATACAGATTTAATGCAATCCCAATCAAAATACCACTAGCATGCCTTACAGAACTAGAGAAGACATTCCTAAACCTCATTTGGAACCAGAAGAGACCTAGAATAGCAAAAGCAATTCTGGGCAATAAAGGCAAGTCAGGAGACATCACAATTCCTGACCTAAAATTATACTTCAGAGCTACTGTTGATAAAGTCAGCATGGTACTGGCAAAAAAACAAAAACAAAAACAAAAAACCTGAGGATCAGTGGAACAGAATAGAAGATGATGATGAAACCCCTAACACACTCAGCCACCTTATCTTTGACAAAGGAGCCAAATATGTTCACTGGAAGAAAGGTAGCCTCTTTAATAAATGGTGTGGGAAAAACTGGCTTTCCACACACTGAAGACGAAAGCTGGACCCATGTCTATCGCCATGCACTAAACTAAAGTCAAAATGGATCAAAGATCTAAATATTAAAACAGAAACACTAAATATACTGGAAGAGAAAATAGGTAGAAATCTTGCATAGGGGTAGGCAGAGAATTCATGAACAAAACCCAGACCACATGGGAAATACAACAAATAATCAACAAATGGGATCTCACTATATTAAGATGCTTTTGCATAACAAAATAAATCACCAACAAAGTGAAAAGACAAAAAATCAGGCCTCCAAAATTGAAAGACCCAATCCAAAAATGGGCATCTGCAATGAATTCACCCTTCTCAGATAAATACAAACAGTAAATAAATATATGAAGAAAATGCTGAACAATATCGGTCATTCAAGAGATGCAAGTTAAAACAACACTGAGATTCCATCTCACTCTAGAAAGAATGGTTATCATCAAGAAGTCAACCAATAACAAATGCTGGAGGGGTTATGGGGGAAAAAGGAGCCCTTCTTTGCCATTGGTAGAAGTGTAGACTGGTGCAACCACTGTGGAAATCAGTGCATCGATTTCTTATTTTATTAATTAATTAATTTTTTTTTTTTTTGAGACAGGGTCTTGCAATGCAGTTCAGGCTGGCCTGAGCTCACTTTTTAACCTAGGCTGGTCTCGAACTCACAGTGATCCTCCTGTCTCAGCCTCCCAAGTGCTGAGATTACAGGCATGTGCCACCATGCCTGCTACTAGTGTGTAGATTTCTATAAAAAACTAGAATTAGAGGTCCCATTCAACCCAGCTATTCCCCTTCTGGGTATCTCCCCAGAAGAATTAACAACATCATACTACAGTGATATATGTGCACACATGTTTATAGCAGCACAATTTGTGATAGCTAACGCTTGGAAACAACCCACATGCCCATCAATTGAGGAATGGATAAGTAAGATGCGGTCTTTTTATACAATGGAGTACTACTCAGCTATCAAGAAAGATAAACTTGAGACTTTTATAGGTAAATGGATGCAACTCGAGACTAAATTCATAAGTGAACTAAACCAGACCCCCATGTGCAAATATCATATTTGCACAGGGGACACTGTAAGAGGGGGGACTCTCCCTGTTTTTCAACAAACTAAAACCGGATAGAACATGGCAGGCAGGGGAACTCAAGAGCTTGCAATTTGTGTCACTAGTGTGAGCTTGCAATGTGTCTCACTAGTGTGAGAATCTGAAAGAGTAAACAAGTCCCAAAAAGTACAATAGATACTGTGAATAGGGAAGAAACTGATCAAAAGAAAAGAAAAACTGTGATGGGAGAAAGGGGAAAGGAAGGAAGGGGAAAAGGAAAAATATATATACATGCACAAGATGGCTAAGGTAGTTATACAGCTGGTTTGTCTTGGTTCCCTGAGGGGAAAGTTTTGTGCTAGTAATTTTCTGGGCAATGTTTCACGCCTATAATTTGT